TAGCTCTCAGCTCCAGCCTCGTAATTGATAACTTAATTCCATTTGTGACCCAGCATTTCGTGATCAGTGTAAAGATTGAAAAGGATGAGGACATATATTTCTGCGGAGAATGAGGAATTTTTGTCTCCATGGAAATAAATTCTCTGGATTAAAAATGAAGTGAGGTCATTTTAGAGAATGTCCTGGAAAATACTGGCTTGAAGGTTGCTAGAGGCTGATATCCTCTCTTAAGGCAGGTGCAGCATGGGATAGACAGTACATTGTTCAAATGAAGCATCTGAGCACAGCTCTCAAAGGATGATCAGACTAGTTTAGTATCTATGAACCAGTCAATCATCGGTCTATCTTATCAGACTGCCAGTAAAAGTACCTGTGGGAGTAGCCGTAGCTTCGTAAAGTGGATGCTTTCCCAATGGGAACTGGCAGAGACCACACCAATTCACACTGATGCAATGTGGAATCTTTCTCCATCCTAGATCTGTGTCCCAATCTTGCATTCACTGAGCACCCAAAATTCATATTGAAAGGCCTGATTCTGTTTTCGCCCAAGGTGATGGCAAAATTCCCATTTACTTCAGTGGGAACTGGATCGGGAGGTTGGGTGCTGTAGGTGTGAACCATAAACCTGATATAATCCTTATGTAGCTGAAGTATATCAGGAGAGCGTGTCAGTAATCCCTTGGGCTGGTGGTTTTCTTACACAGATATCTCTAGTTTTATTAGAATAACGTCAATGGAATGTTGCAGAGCTAGATCTTAAATGAGTGTACTTATAATTGTCACATGAATTCTTTTCTTGGGGTGAGCACAATATTTTGTGCACATATTGTGCATGAGCACAAATTCACTTACTGGGAGTCAGCACTTATTGTTGGCCAGCATGAGGTTTCTGTGCCACTTAAATTGGCCTTAAGTGCGTAGTCACTGTTCTGTCACAGGATGAATTTTAACCTACGGTATATAAATGATGGTTCATGGGAGCTGGGAGGAGAGGGATTTACAGCACCCAAGGGTTATTTCAGGTTTTATTAGACATAACTTATTGATGCAAATAAAATTGACTCTTACATATAATTAGAACCTCTTTTCAATCACACAAATCATAAACATCCAAATATTAAGTGTTAAATTAATCGCTGTTTATATTATCACACGTTTCTAAAGACACAGATTGGTTTTAAAATGTGCAGCTGGCATGTGTTACATTCACATAATGAAAAAAAAAAAACGCCTTCAGATAAAAAAATAAAACAAATGTTAATACAAGATGGATATTTACAGTGGGTGAAATTCACCCCTACACAAAGGGCCAGCAGCCAGTGCTTCTGGACCAGTTAAGTCTCACTTAATCAAACCCCATTTTAAGGGCTGAACCAGAATTTAAGTGGTATCTAGGCCTGCCTTGGCAGTTAGCATTACAACAAATTTCCCCCGTAGTGTACAGCAGCTAGTGTCCCAAGTTCTATTCAGTTTGATAAGAACTGGTCCCTTTATCCTGGGACCAGTAAAAGCAGAGTCAATGCCAGAATCCAGAACTTCCGCTTCCTACTCCCTTGCACTAACTGCTTGATTTGCTTTTGAAACTCACAACCTAGTGTGATAGGGAAGGACTAGCCATATTTTACAGATGGGGAATGGAGGAATGGGGTAGATCAAATGACTTGCCCAAGGTCACACAGTAAGCATATAGGTTAGCCAGGGACTGAACCCAAATCTCTTGAGTAATCCCAATCCAGGCCCCTATATACTAGACCACCATAAACCATCAACTTTATCACAACAGGAACAATGTGTAACCCCAAATCACACTTTAATATTGAACCTGTTCTTGATTAAGTCAATGAGAGCAGGATTGGGCCCTTGGGAAATATATAATTTTTTAGAGGAACAGTAAAAGATAGATGTTTCTTAAGTCTGGCATTATGATTAACTTTCTTACAGTGGAAAAGTAGTAAGCCAACTAAGGAAGAAAGACTTGTTTTTTATTATTATTAATGCTCTTGGTGTCATAGTAAATCCAACTCAACTGATGATGCAATTTCTAGTGGAAATGTGGTCTGCTTTTGTATGAGAACTAAATGAATATTGCAAATAAAAATATTTCAGGAATATTATCTCAAATTCTTATTATCCTTTTGTGTTTGCTATCTGTGAACATTCATGTCATTAAATTTAATTAGTGTAAGTGGTTGCAAAGAGCAAATTTCAAAGTCACATGTTGCAATATTTGCCCAAAGCACACTTTTAAATTTGCATGTGCAAGTGTTTTCGCCAATCATGGAACAGAAGCAATGCCTTGGGACTTAATCTGGTCAGTCCCCCCAGCTACCACAAGTGACCTCAAACAGTAAATACTTAGAGAACAATCTGTGAGAAACCATAGAGTTAAAATATTGTTGTGGAATAACACTGAGAAAACTGCAGGAAAAATTGGATAAATTATTCATTCTGAATTATTCACTCAGCTTTATAATTTATCTGTTAAACGCGAAGGGTGAAATTCATCCCTGTTCAGAGGCCTGGCAAAGGTCTAGGCACCACTTAAGTTTCATTTAAACTCTATTTTGAGAGTTTAGCTGGGACTTAAGTGCTGCATAGACTTCGTGCTAGAACTCTGCAGGGGGTGAATTTCACCCCAATGGTGTATAGTAAAGAACACAGAGGAAGATAAACCCCCTGCTCCAAGAAGCAAGTGATCTATAAATATCAACGAAAGATATTAAACAGAGAGAATGACTTAATCTCTCATTTTTAATTCATTAGGGTTAAAAATCAATTATAGGATTAAAAAAGTGTTGTTTTTAATGTTGTAAAAGTCACTCAATTCTGCAGCACTAAACCTCATGCAATAGAATTGCGCTGTCTACTCACATTGTGTAGTTGCTTTGAAATATATAAGAAATGTTCAGCTAGCTTGAGGATTAATCCTATGGTCACATTGTCTAATGACTTTGAGCATGGTATTCAGCACACACACACACACAAACACATTTCATGTTAAGGAAAGGGAATTAAGCAATGAATTGTCTACACTCTGTACAACAGTAACCTTAACAACTGTACAAAACATCACCCTATCTGTACTTTTCTTCAACATCATCCTATACAGTCTGGACTAGAGCTGGCTAATGTCTTGCTTATATAATAAAGGAGGAGTTATTTTTACCAGGAACTTTTCTGCTTTCATTTAAAATAAACCTAAGCAGCAAATTACATTGCTACAGAACAACAGTAGCCTGGCTCCTGCTCAAGTTGGCAAAACCTCCATTGGCTTCAATGGAAATAGCATCAAACTCCTGGGGTTTAATTCGTGTGCATTATTGCACTGGGTTAAACATTAATTAATTTATGTTCCCTCCAATGCAAGCATTCAAACTGTTGATTCCATGCACAGAAAGCCCGCCTTATTATTTTAAAATAAGTTACGAACAAATAGAGATTTGCTTGTTGATTTAAATACCATGGGAGGAATTAGTTTAGCTCCTGAATTTTAAGGCACTGAGATTTTAAGGCACAAGAGAATATTTTGGATAGAAAATGGATTTTAATCCTCATCAATATAGAATAAAGTTGTATCTAAATTTTATATTAAAATAAGCAACTGGAGGACCTTTACTCACACAAGGCCAAGCCGCATTGAGGTCAATAGGACAACTAATGAGAGCAAGGATTGCCAGACTGGTCCCTTGGTTTTCAGTGCTACCAATATTTAAGTATCAAAAAGCCAAAGGGGGGTAAATTAGCAAATAAGGGTTACATAAAACATGTGGTTGGTAAGTTGACTTCATGTAAGTTGACTTCATTTTGTTGTTAGTTTAATAAAAGTGCTGTGCAGTTGAATAGCACCTTGAATCCAAGGATTTTAAAGCGCTTTCCAGATAGTGATGTATTTAGCCTCACAACCCTGGGAGATACGTGAGTGGTTGAACCTAGAACGGGACATGGAAATCATGGTTCGCAATCAACTGCTTTAATCACTCGATGACACTACCCCTTAATCGAGGGATACATTCCCCATAAAAAGCAACAAAGAGTCCTGTGGCACCTTATAGACTAACAGAAGTATTGGAGCATAAGCTTTCGTGGGTGAATACCCACATGCGTCTGACGAAGTGAGTATTCTCCCACGAAAGTTCATGCTCCAATACATCTGTTAGTCTATAAGGTGCCACAGGACTCTTTGTCGCTTTTTACAGATCCAGACTAACACAGATACCCCTCTGATACATTCCCCATAGTAAGTGTACTAGAAAGGCCAAATTCTGTCATTACTAACAGCAATTTCTGTAAACAAACATTCGGGCCAGTGTTGCTCTTGTGTAAAGTTGAATCCCCATACCCATCAAAAGAAACCAGAACCGAACGGGCTACATGTCATTTTCTGGAATGGAAAGCAACTGCCAAACTTCACAAGAGTGGCTTTTACTGTCCAGAGTAGCCCTGTGAAAGCAGCAGAAACTTAGTGTGATAAGGGCTGCTCTCCTGAGTAAGAGTTTCCACTAGCCCACAGCACAATATTGAAGACAACCCATGGAATGTCCCTGGAAGTGACTCAGTACTAGACAGCACGTGAACCAATGGCGGGGCCAAGAGAATACTGTGAGTGGAAGAGAATGTATCTTTCGTGGTGGCTAGTAAGGCACCAAATATATATTTTTTACACACTATATAAAGCTTCTCCTGCCAATATATTGGGCCGGACCCTCCACTGGTGATGTCAGTGGAATTACACCAATTGACAGCTGCTGAGGGCTTGACTCATTATCTGTGTTTCCAGAGATTTGGAAATAGCTTTGAAAAGCATCATGCGGTAAATGCGTTGGCTGCTTGGTTAGCGCAGAAAACCCACTAGATTGGCTGTGTTGCTTGTAACTTACAAGGCAACCTGAAGGCAATAGAAGCAAATCCTGCTCATTTTGAGGATGCATCCAAAAACGACCACCATAATTGACTTTATGTAAACCAACCAAGCATTACATTAAAGGACAACAGATCAGCAATTGCTTTCCTCCTAGGCAATTTATGCAGCCACTGGGGGTTCCACTCTCCAGAACATCACTGATCTAACAGCCACAGAACCAGCCTTCATTCTCTGTCTGTGGCCGCCTAGGATGCCGGCACAAAAGGGCTGTGGCAGAGACGCTGTTCTTTAACAGTCCTCCCAAAAACCTTGCTCCAGCTCCTGGCTTCCCAGTCCAGGTAGGGGTGGTCACCAGAGTGTCAGAAACAGGAATGGTTGGGTACATTTCAGCCAGGAAGGTACAAGATGGCAGAAGCTGGCTGGTGGCAGAAGGGTTGTGAATAAGTGGTGGTAGATGGTCTCACAGATGTGGAGAGAGCTGAACTGAATGGAGGGCTAGTTTGTACATCTGGCCCTGCGCAGATACATTTCCAAATGCAATCTGGAGCCGTTCCTGCAAGAATTAGGAGCGTGCGGAGGTGAATGGGTGGATGATATAATGTAGCATTTCACACAGCATGAGATAACAGCCTGTAGGGGGTGTTGCTTCTGTTCTCAGCATGAATCTCAAGTGCAAGAAAGGCTTCTGCAGTTGTAAGAGTTTGTAAACATGTCACTGATGGCAGTGCTCAGAAGTGGGGGCGAGGGGGAGTCACTCGGATTGCTTGGGGACCCAGGTGAATTTCCAGCCTCCGTCCTCCTCTCGGCGCACGAAGACCTGTCCCTGGTGGAAGGTGTGTGTTTTGACGTTGCGGTGGGGACTCAGGGAGGTTGTAAAGGCCATGTCGGTTTTGTTTGGTGACACGTCGTTGGCGAAGTAAGGCAATCCGTAAGGCGGGAAAGGGGCACCGCTGGGCAGCGTCGAGGAAGCACATGGTGCTGAAGAAAGTGGTTGGATGTAGGGTAAATCCTGCTTCCCAGGAGTGGCAGCGCTGTTTATAGGAGTCATCTGATCACAGCCATAAGCAGCGATTGGGTCCTCATCATTACAATAGTCCATTGCCTCCCCATGGCTCTGGCAGTACGGGCTTTTCCCAAGTTCAGAGGACAGGGCACTGTAGTTAGCTGATAAAGACTCATCAATGGTGTTGATATCTTTCAGTCCCAGGGTTTGCAGTACCCAGGTCTCCACGGGCGGAGCAGCTTGTTCTTCGCAGGCAGTAAAATCACTGAGCAGGTTCCTCCTGGCTTTGGAGGGGTGAGGAGTCTCTCGAGGGGCCAGGTAACTGTCCTCTTTAAATTTCCTCTTGCCGCTTTTGAGAATTGCATGTTTCTTCTGGCCATTGTGCAGCAGCAGTTTCTACACAGGAGAACAGGGAAGATAGAGCAGATTAAAAGCCGATCACCCAGAGCCCCAGAAGCAACATGGTTCTGGCCAGAGGCTTTATCTGAACAGGTGCCTAACGTCGTTCTCATAAAGCGCACCGTTTACCCGGAGCTCATTTTCAGCTAGCAAACGTGGATGGCACTAATTACTTTGTGCTGTATGGTCTCTGGAAACAGCCCAAACCCCTACGAGATAAGAATACGACAGTGTCAACACGGCCTGAGCTTTGTTTGCTTTTTCACTCAGTAAGCCATGAAATGAAAGCTCCTGCACTGTACAGCCGTCCTCAAGACCGACCCTGCCAGCAGGCTCTGATCTGGCACCAGGGGGCTCAGTCACCTTCAGAGATCCAGGACTGGGTGGGAAGGGAACATGCATATGCCTCCCATGGTTCCCAGTGAGTGGGAGGGGGGCTGGGGAGCACAGAGCACGCCTCGGCATAGATAGCCCTGGGATCCACAGGGTGTGGGGGCTAGCTCAGTGGTTTGAGCATTAGCCTACTAAACCCAGGGTTGTCAGTTCAATCCTTGAGGGGCCCATTTAGGGAACTGGGGTAAAAATCTGTCTGGGAATTGGTCCTGCTTTGAGCAGGGGGTTGAACTAGATGACCTCCTGAGGTCCCTTCCAACCCTGAGATTCTATGATTCTATACCCTTAGGGCAATTCAGGTGAGGAGAGCACTTCTGCACTCACCCTTTTGACAGCCTCTGCCAAGGATCTCAGTTTTCACTCATGCCACATGCCCAGCGGTACCACTTGCTTTGCCCGAGTAAGGACTGAGCCCATCCTTAGCAATAGAGCTCAGCATCCCAAAGAGCTTGACAAATGTTTATTAACGAACCCCCACCCCCATGGCCCCGGGGTGGCAGCTAATTGATTAGCATTCGCATTCCGCAACTGGTGGGGCCGGGGCGCCAAAGGCTAAGTGACTTGCCCAAGGACAAGGGCGAGTCAGCGGCAGGGCTGAGAACAGAATGCTCCCCGTTACCCATTCCCAGGTTTGTGCTTCTGCTCTCTGAACAGCTGCTTTATTGACTCTGAAGGTGATTAATGCTAAATGTCTTGCTTTTTGGTATCCTTTCAGTGTAATGAGTTCTGCTCATTGGTTAGAAGTTTGAGGGGTTAGGGTTAGTCCATTGCTTCTTATAAACCCCCTCTCTCAAAGCATCATAAACCAAATCAGCTATAAATGCTAAAGATCAGGGCTGTCACACGGCTTAACCCTGTCTACATAGGCAAGGCCGACCAGGACAACACACACTATCAGTAGTGCTTGGTCACCAATCTGGGGAGCGTTAGAAGGGCCTTTCCACTTGCATGCTACCTGCCCACAATGTGGCCTTTTACACCTGTGTTTATTTGCATTTGCCTTTTAGGCATTTCACCTAAATGCTTCGTTCCCTTCTCTCTCTCACAGACACACTTTTTCGTGGCAGGTTTGAACACGGTACCTTCGCCTTGTCTTCCAAACACTTAACCACGGCAGAATTCAGGTATTGTCGGAGGTTGTTATTTTCTTCATGTAACCTGGCAAGTTCCTCTTCCTTCTGTAGCAAGGTGTCTTGAAGCTGTGAAATACAGATATCGATGAATAGACGTTTCTTAGCTCTGTTGACTTTGTAACCTGATAAATTCCCTGCTCTGTGGCCTGGTGGGATGTGATGATTTTGGTGTTTGCTTTGTGAATTCAATCCTCAAGAACCCCTTGTCCCTGTAAAGCTAAGTGGCATGACTGTTCACGTCTCACATTTGACTTCTCCTATTCTTTAGCAAATGTTTGAAGAGATTATTTTGAAAAACTGTAACTGCAGAGGAATAATAGAGGTGTGCAGGGAAATGAACTGCAAACAGCCCTTTAAATACACAGAGATTTTCTCGCTCACAATGCTGCCAGTTTTCTTCCTTCTGCGTTTCAAAGAGTACTTAAGCTTCCCCTGCATCCCTAGCTCACTAACCTCTACCTGGCTAGAGAGAAAAGGAGGGGGCGAGAGAGCAGATTATAAACTAGACCTGGGTGCAGGCTGCAACATTCAGATCCAGGTGTCATTATGTATATTACAGGCTTGAGCTGTATATAAATCCATGGTATGCCCACATCTTGAATACTGCGTGCAGATGTGGTCACCCCATCTCAAAAAAGATATATTGGAACTGGAAAAGGTTCAGAAAAGGGCAACAAAAATGATTAGGGTGTGGAACGGTTTCCATACGAGGAGAAATTAATAAGACTGGGACTTTTCAGCTTGGAAAAGAGACGACTAAGGGGGGATGTAATAGAGGTCTATAAAATCATAACTGGTGTGGAGAAAGTAAATAAGGAAGTGTTATTTACTCCTTCTCATAACACAAGAACTAGAGGTCACCAAATGAAATTAATAGGCAGCCGGTTTAAAACAAACAAAAGAAAGTATTTCTTCACACAACGCACAGTCAACCTGTGGAACTCTTTGCCACAGGATGTTGTGAAGGCCAAGACTATAACAGGGTTCCAAAAAGAACTAGCTAAGTTCATGGAGGACAGGGATGGTGTCCCTAGACTGTTTGCCAGAAGCTGGGAATGGGCAACAGGAATACGGATCCCTTGATGATTCCCTGTTCTGTTCATTCCCTCTGGGGCACTTGGCATTGGCCACTGTCGGAAGACAGGATACTGGGCTAGAATCATAGAATATTAGGGTTGGAAGAAACCTCAGGAGGTCATCTAGTCCAACCCCCTGCTCAAAGCAGGACCAACCCCAACTAAATCGTCCCAGCCAGGGCTTTGTCAAGCCAGGCATTAAAAACCTCTAAGGAAGGAGATTCCACCACCTCCCTAGGTAACCCATTCCAGTGCTTCACCACCCTTCTAGTGAAATAGTGTTTCCTAATATCCAACCTAGACCTCCTCCACTGCAACTTGAGCCCATTGCTCCTTGTTCTGTCATCTGCCACCACTGAGAACAGCCGAGCTCCATCCTCTTTGGAACCCCCCTTCAGGTAGTTGAAAGCAGCTATCAAATCCCCCCTCACTCTTCTCTTCTGCACACTAAATAACCTCAGTTCCCTCAGCCTCTCCTCATATGTCATGTGCTCCAGCCCCCTAATCAGGATGGTCCTTTGGTCTGATCCAGTCTGGCTGTTCTTATGTTCGTCACTGCTGCCCAAGATGCAGCAGGTCACACTGCTAATTTTAGTGTGCGAGGCCCAGGAGAGCTAGCATGAGTGTGTCTCCCCAGACTGGAGGCTCGCTCCCTGCGGCAAAGCAGACACACCCTACAAGTCTCAAATGAAGTTGGAGCCCCAGTGTGCCAGGTCCAGCACATATATTCAGTGACAGACATCTCTCCCCAAAAGAGATTGTGTTCTACATAGACAAGACACATAACAGGCAAGAGAAAGGAAGTTTGTGGATATTTGGACCAAGGGTGAAATCCTGGCCCCATTGAAGTCAACGGCCAAACTTCCATTGACTTCAGTGGGGCCAAGATTTCGCCCCAAGTGTTTTGGTTCAGGGTCACTCTGTTGTGATCTAAACATTGAGCTAGGTACAAGCAGCTACAATGGGAACCGCTTAGCTTGGAGAGTTCACTGGCTCTCCTGCTGCTTACTAGCACTCATGGAAAAGGAAAAAGAGCTAGAGAGGTGACTTCTAATCTTGGTGCTTGGTCCTGCGAAGACTCATGCATGTGACGAACTTTGCTCAAGTGGGTACCCCCACTGCAGTCAACAGAACTAATCATGTGAGCAACCTTACGCACGTGTGTCAGTCTTTGCAGCCGCAGACCCTAAAGCAGTTCCCAGTGATGCCTCTGCTTTTTTGGTGGAAGCCAGCAATCTGATCCGGTGCGAAGCTGCTGGACTTGTGACCTGGGCAGACAGCAACGCTGCTGCTAATTGAAGTCATTCTAGTTTTACACATCAGCATAAGGAAGGAGAGAAAATAAAAGATTCTGGGCTGTCAATGTTTTCCATACTCATTGTACAGAGAAACACAGATTTATGCACACATTCTCCTGACCCAGAGCTTTAGGCAACTGTAAAATGAAATTCTAGGAGTAGCATAAGATGGTGGGTGGAAGAACATTTTAAAACTGTAAATAAAAGTTCTATTCTCCAGTGTGTGAGTTGTTTGAAATGTTACCTGTTTGTTTCTGTAGAGCTGGGAGCACAGCTGATCTCCTTGCCACGTGTCATCTGGAATAGTAAAATCCAAGCCACAGAACTGATCTGGACAAAAACAGACATCAAAGTGATTCAACTGAAACCCACATTTTCCAAACCAAGCGTAAAATCACAATCATGTTTATTTTAATCCCTCTTGTTTACTTCATTTGAATCAAGAAAAAATTGTGCTGCTTGATAAGCAGCAAAGAGTGGTCCTTTAAAAAATGGATAATAAATTAGTAAATCATCCGAGTTTGTTATGAGACACCTTTGGCATCTGGAAGATCTTTTTCCTTGCGCTCTTTATCCTTTGTTTAAAATTCCTCTTCTTTACAAGAGGAACCAAAGCTTGGGAGAGTTGTTTGTCAGGCAGCCTGGGCCAGTGGCCAGGGCATTGTACTGGGACACAGGACACCTGGGTTCCATTCAGGGCTCTGCTGTGACCTGGGGCAAGGCACTTCACGCTCTATCTCAGTTTCCCCCATCTTCAAAAGGGGCGAACTGACCTTCCTTTGTAAAGTGTTTTGAGATCTATGGCTAGACGGAGCTGGGTACAAGAGGTGAGTTCCCAACAGCATTTCAAATCATGGAAGCTAGAGATGAAACAAGCGAACCTTCCTACCAAGGCAGGGACGGCAGGGACACGACCCAGAACCTCTCTGACTGAAAGCTGGATGCTCCACTGACTGCACTTTCTATTTTACCCCGCCCCGTAGAATCGGAGCGCTTTCCAGTGGTGTGGACAGTCGGCAACATGACGATCATAATGTCACCTGTGGTTTGTTCTCTGTCTCACCCCCTCCCCAGGGGGAAATTGTGCAGTGCAGTACCCAGGAAGCCCGGTCACAGAATCCCTCCTTTGTTATACAACTCTGCTAAAATCAAAACTATGGCCCAGGGTGTATAATTATTAATGATTATTAGTAATATTGGGTTATATTATGGTAGCATCCATGGGCCTCAGATGAGATCAGGGTCACAGTGTGCTAGGTGCTGTTTAAAAACAGAGTGAGAGACAGTCTCTGCCTCAAAGAGCTTGCAGCTTAACTAGCCTAGACAGACAAAGGGTGGGGGAAAGGAAGGATTGTGATCCCCATTTTACAGATGCAGAAACTGAGGCACAGATGCCCAAATCCTCAACGGGTCTTAGGTGCCTAATTCCCCTTGATTCCCATGGGAGTTAGGCACTGAACTCCCTTTGAGGAGGTGGCCTACGGGACTAAGGGATGTACCCCAGGCCATACAGGGAGTCTATGGCAGAACTGGGAACTGAAATCTCCCGAGGCCTGTAACCTCGGGGGAGGATCCTGTCTCTCTCTGGAAAAGACAAACGGAAGCTGGTGCTGCACGGAGACCTTGAGAACATCTCCCAGGAGTAGGGTGACCAGATGTCCCGATTTTATAGGGACAGTCCCGATATTTGGGGTTTTTTCTTATATGGACTCCTATTACCCCCCTACCCCATCCCGATTTTTCACACTTGCTGTCTGGTCACCCTACCCAGGAGCTGCCTGGGAAGTGCCCCTGACTGAGGGCCCGTGTCCCTGCCCGCAGAGTCAGCTCCGCCAGCCGCCCTCCGGGGGCGAAAAGCCAGACCCGCTCTTCCCCGCTCCGCCGTGTAGACACAGCGCAGGGATCGCTACCCGCGCTGGGAGGGGGCCGCCCGCGGACCGGGATCAGCCGGGCCCCAGGGAAGCGTTGACCCGACTCTGCAAAGCGAATGGGCTCCGGGAGGGAGCTCGGAGGAGAACACCGAAGTTAAGCGCCCGCTCTCCCGGGGGAAAGCCCCCAGCTCTGGGCAGCGGAGCGGGGCACGGTCTCCAGCTAGACGCTCACGTCCCCTCCGTCCACACGCGCGCTCCAGGGTGCGTACAACGGTGGGGACCTGCCCTTCCTTCCCCGGCTAACGCGTTATCCGCTCCGCTCCAGCTGGTGCCTCCCTTCCCCCCCGCGGCATCTTTCGGGGCAAACTCCCGGCAGCCGTGGAGCAGCAGAACTTACCCGGAGCCGGTCCTTCCTGTTGGTTCTCCCGGGTGGTGTCCAGGAGACCAGACGCCCAGAAAGAAACCCAGGTCTCCTTGGAAACATCCACACTGGCTGCTGACGTTGAGTCGGAACAGGGATAGTCATGGCCCTGGCCCCCTACAAAGTACGGATCTTGGCAGGAAAGAATGGTGCTCTGTGAAATGAACACGGGACAGGCAGAGACAGGAGACATTAGAGACGCGTGGGGTGTAAAAACCAGCGCGGCGCCGCTCGCTCTGGGCTGGGGCTCGATCCCCCTGCTGTCATCTCCAGCAGTGACACCGAGTTTTAAACCGGGGGGGAGAGGCCAGAGCCTCAGGCACTCGCTGGGTTCTCAAAGGCAGGAGGTTGAGGAAGGGTTTCCCGGGTCCCACTGCGTTCTTGGGGGGTTTCTGATTAAACCGTGTCGCAGCCACCAGGCCCTGACAGGAGAGAGGTGCGTAGAGGTGGCAAAACCACGAGTTGCAAGCTCCTCAAACCTGCCCCGGCTTTCCCCCAGCTCGGTCAAAGCTCAGTCCCACCTCTCCGCCCAGCCCACAGCGCCCCAGACACTGTCTGCAGCGAAGGCGTCTGGCTGTGCCCTGGGGTGTCTCCCTCTGCTCTCTCCTCCCACCTCAAGGCTGAGTCTCCCCCAGATATCCTAGGCTCAAAGGGGCCCGGGCACTGACACTTGGGAAGACCCATGCTGCCGCCAACGTCTAAGGTTTGCCCCTGTTGCGGATGCAGGGGGGAGTGTGACCCAGCCCTGGAGCCCAAACCACCTTGGCTAGATGCTGCGATCAAAGCCTGCTAGCCTACATGTATATCCCCACCCCCAGCTTTGCCACCAGTTCGCCAAGTGATTCCCTGTACACCCATCGATCCCTTCCTCCAGCATATTCACACGCAGGGTCACCTCTGAACGAGAGACAGAAACCAGACCGAATGCACTCCCCCTCCTAGGCTTTAACAGCCTTAGGCGGCTACCTCGAAGTCCATGGCGGTGAGTCACCTACTGCAGTTCTAGCACACACATCAGCTCCAGCATCCAGGCACTAAGCAAAGACATGCGAGAGAGCGACCCTCATTCGCTTCAGTTCGTCTGGAAACACTTCGGCTGTTCAAAAGGAGCAAGCGATCCAGACCTATCTGGAGAGTCATTGGCTATGCAAGTCTTCCAACCGTCTACACAAAGCTAGGAGAGTCACATCCAGTCTCTGCAAGTTTGCACTGGTCCCACTGATCAGGAAAAGTCTGGGTTCGATTCTGGAAGTGGGTGCCCCCCCCCCCAATAAACCAAACCTGCTGCAAGTGAGAAGTCTTTGCAAGGCAATGACAAAGCTTCTGGGTTTCCAGGTACAGAGTAAGTTTCCTCAATACCAATCTTAAACAAACAGGGCACAAAATATATTGCAAACCCTCAAGGCAAAATACCAGCTCCCCCCCCCTGACTTCAGGTCGAGAGAGATCCAAAGAGCACTTACCATTTTAGTGGCAGAATGAGATGCAGGGCTTGGGAGCACGTTTCCTCTTAAAGCCCCAGCGAGCTTTAATTGGCTCTGAAGGGGGAAAAGACAGGGGAGGCGAGTTCTAATCTAAAGGAGCTTCCAGTGACGCCTCAGAGCTTTCTTGAATCCCAGCAATCTGATTTGGTGTAAAGCTGTCAAACTTGTGACGTGAATAAACAGCTAACTTGCTGAAATCAAAGTCATTCTGGTCTCACAAATCATCATAAGGAAGGGGGGGGGGAGAAAGAAAAAGAAATGTATAGGCTACACAGAGCTGGTGTGTCTGAGATTGATTCCAAGAAAATCACACCGATTTACGAAGGCATCACACTGTTAGAGCAGAGGTGAGGTAGCTGGTGATGTGTTTTGTTTTATTTTTAACCCTATTTAGCTATTGTAAAGCCCAGCAGAAAGACTCAGGGGCAACTCATCCAACTTGTCAAGGTTGGGAAGAGACTGCTCATTGGATTTACTCATGATGGGGTCAGGAGATAGCAAAGGAGACTCAAGGCAGTTTTATCCACATCTCCAAGGAGCAAAGCCTGGTTTGCAGAACAGAAGAGGCTGTGATGTCAAGCTTTTAAATGGCTTCTTTTATTGGGAATTACTCTGCTTCCAGTAACAGATCTGAGTCTTAAATAAACAGGTAGGGACTGAAAGGGTTACTGGTGTATAAGAAAGGTTTGCACAGTAGATAGATATCACTGTGGATGACATACGTGTGGGTATAAACGAATATAAATGACATCAAATTTCCATGGTGATTACAATCCCTAAATAGGCTGGTCTTCTGCAACAAAAAACCTTCACTGGGGTCTGTCTTTGTATAGGATAAGGGGCTGGTGTGAAATGAGGCTAATAGCAGAGCAGTTGTTCGATCCAGATCCTGCCTCCTGCCATGGCCAGATCTATAAAAAGGGTAGGTAACCTGACCTGGCTGTGCACACAAGCTGCAGCCGGCACATGGGAAGGGGGGAGCAGGCTGGCATATGGAATAGTTTTCCATTTCCCCCCGGGAGGATGCGGTGCCCGTAACCCATTAGCCAGGCTCAGTGACACTGACAAGCAAGGGGGCGAGGTACCTTCCCGTCTCTTGTAACCCACAGCTTTTCCTAGCCGGATTGCCAGCTCAGGAGACATGAACCATCGCATCCCCTTTCGGGATCACGAGAAAAAGGGGCTGGTGCCTGTAATTCCCCGCTCCCCGCTCCGCAGGGCGGTTCATGACCAGCGGGGTTCGCTGACACCCCCTGGGCACCCCCATGAG